GTGATAGGGTGTCTGCCCTCTCCTGATGAAAGCCTCAGTGACCAGGTCATGAAATTACGACCAAAATATGGCAACATTATCACGTAAGTTCAGTTCAGACGCCATATTTGTTTACCAAGTAATAACCATATAGAACTTTGTATATTTACCTATAGGCGGTAAATTGTAAAGAAATACTTTTTGTCAGGTAAAAAGCTACATTGTCAGATACTATATGCACGAGTATAACTGCTTAACCTAATGCACGGGTATTTATATAACATATGTATACAATTCTGAATTAATCTTTAAGAGAAATAAGATAATTGAAGAAAGGATATGAATACACAAGGTCAAAAGTTCCTGGCACCTTCTGCAGATGGCGAATGGGAAGTCGTACTTTCGTGTTCCTGTGCAACTATAAGTTGGCCAGCACAGCCATGGCACGGCCGGAGCTCCAAGACAGACCAGACCTCTACAGTCTGGACGTCCTCAACGAGTTCAAGAAATACGGTAAGTACCCTACCCTCGACGTCTCTGTGTTGTGAGTCCCTTGTTGCTAGTGTTGTATAACCTTTGATGTTGGGATTGTAGACCTTTGATGTGACGTTCTCACCTGTGGACCCCCACAACCACGTTCTCACCTGTGGACCCCCACAACCACGTTCTCACCTGTGGACCCCCACAACCACGTTCTCACCTGTGGACCCCCACAACCACGTTCTCACCTGTGGACCCCCACAACCACGTTCTCACCTGTGGACCCCCACAACCACGTTCTCACCTGTGGACCCCCACAACCACGTTCTCACCTGTGGACCCCCACAACCACGTTCTCACCTGTGGACCCCCACAACCACGTTCTCACCTGTGGACCCCCACAACAAAATAAATCGTACTACTAGAATTGACAGTGGCCATTGCTGCGACAAATATATACATTCACATGTCATAAATCCTGCATTATTACTCTCGGTTAAAACTGTATGTGAATGATAACAGATGTTCAGAACAAGGTGAACAAAAAACACACACACACACACACACACACACACACACACACACACACACACACACACACACACACACACACACACACACACACACACACACACACACACAGAGTAGTAGGGGCCTCGTAGCCTGGTGGATAGTGCGCAGGACTCGTAATTCTGTGGCGCGGGTTCGATTCCCGCACGAGGCAGAAACAAATGGGCAAAGTTTCTTTCACCCTAAGTGCCCCTGTTACCTAGCAGTAAATAGGTACCTGGGAGTTAGTCAGCTGTCACGGGCTGCTTCCTGGGGTGTGTGTGTGTGTGGTGCGGAAAAAAAAAGAAAAAAAAAGAAAATAGTTAGTAAACAGTTGATTGACAGTTGAGAGGCGGGCCGAAAGAGCAAAGCTCAACCCCCGCAAAAACACAACTAGTAAACACAACTAGTAAACACACACATACATCCCCAGGAAGCGGCCAGTAGCAGCTGTCTAACTTCCAGGTACCCATTTACTGCTTGGTGAACAGAGGCAGAGGAGGTGAAAGAAACTCTGCCCATTTGTTTCCGCCTCGGCGGGGATCGAACCCGGGTCCTTTGGACTGCGACCCTAGAGCGCTATCCACTCAGCCACGAGGCTCCTAGAGCTGCGTGTGTGTAATTACTTAAGTGTAATTACCTAAGTGTAGTTACAGGATGAGAGCTACGCTCGTGGTGTCCCGTCTTCCCAGCACTCTTTGTCATATAACGCTTTGAAACTACTGACGGTCTTGGCCTCCACCACCTTCTCACCTAACTTGTTCCAACCGTCTACCACTCTGTTTGCGAAAGTGAATTTTCTTATATTTCTTCGGCATATGTGTTTAGCTAGTTTAAATCTAGTTCTTAAAGTTCCAGGTCTCAGGAAATCTTCCCTATCGATTTTATCAATTCCTGTTACTATTTTGTATGTAGTGATCATATCACCTTTTTTTCTTCTGTCTTCTAGTTTTGGCATATTTAATACCCCTAACCTCTCCTCGTAGCTCTTGCCCTTCAGTTCTGGGAACCACTTAGTAGCATGTCTTTGCACCTTTTCCAGTTTGTTGATGTGCTTCTTAAGATATGGGCACCACACAACAACTGCATATGGCCTAACAAAAGTCGTGAACAATTTCTTTAGTATATCGCCATCCATGTATTTAAAAGCAATTCTGAAGTTAGAAAGCATGGCATAGGCTCCTCGCACAATATTCTTTATGTGGTCCTCAGATGATAGTTTTCTATCTAGAACCACCCCTAGATCTCTTTCTTTATCAGAATTCTTTAAAGATTTCACACATAACATATAGGTTGTGTGGGGGTCTATGTTCTCCTATTCCACATTCCATAACATGGCATTTATTAACATTAAATTACATTTGCCAAGTGGTGCTCCATATACTTATTTTGTCCAGGTCATCTTGAAGGGCATGACAATCATCTAAGTTTCTTATCCTTCCTATTATCTTAGCATCATCAGCAAACATGTTCACATAATTCTGTATACCAACTGGTAGATCATTTATGTAGACAATAAACATCACTGGTGCAAGAACTGAACCCTGTAGTACTCAACTTGTGACATTTCTCCAGTCCGATACATTGCCTCTGATCACTGCCCTCAATTTTCTATCAGAAAATTTTTCATCCATGTTAGAAGCTTACCTGTCACCCCTCCAATGTTTTCCAGTTTCCAGAACAACCTCTTATGTGGAACTCTGTAGAAAGCCTTTTTTAGGTCCAGATAGATGCAGTCAACCCAACCATCTCTTTCCCGTAATATCTCTGTTGCTCGATCATAGAAACTGAGTAAATTCGATACACAGGATCTTCCAGATCGAAAACCATACTGTCTGTCTGATATTATATTTCTCTCCAGGTGTTCTACCCATTTAGTTTTAATAATTTTTTTCAATATTTTGACTATTACACTTGTCAATGATACAGGTCTATAATTGAGGGGGTCTTCCCTGCTGCCACTTTTGTAGATTGGAACTATGTTAGCCTGTTTCCACACGTCTGCTACGATTCCTGTACACAGGGATGCCTGAAAGATCAGGTGAAGTGGAATGCTGAGCTCAGATGCACATTCTCTCAGAACCCATGGTGAAACGCCATCTGGGCCAGCAGCTTTGTTCTTCACGAGCTCCTTTAGCATATTTTCCACTTCAACTCTAGACACCTCTATCCGCTCTATGTTTTTCTCTGGAATTCTTATTGTGTCTGGTTCTCTGAAGATTTCACCTTGTACAAACACACTTTGGAACTTTTCATTTAATGTTTCACACATTTCCTTTTCATTTTCCGTGAATCTGTTTCCCATGTGTGTGTGTGTGTGTGTGTGTGTGTGTGTGTGTGTGTGTGTGTGTGTGTGTACAACATGGACATAGCAATGATCACAATGGTAAAGATGTTCAGATTGGGTACATAAAGATTGGGAGACTGGGTAGCAATAGATACGACTAGCACGTTTAATAATGTCATGGTTACCAAGAGGGGGGTAGAGATAACTGAAGATAACTTTTATCTCACGGAATACATATCTAATCAACGAGCGTAGTACAGTATATAACATTAATAATTGTGTAACTAGCGTCAAAAGATTGTTATATGCTTAGCTAAACGAACTAGAGGGTTCAGTTCCTGAACCGATTATGTGCCTCTGTAATCCTTTACACCACCGCCCACGGGATGGGTATGGGGTGCATAATAAAGAAATGAAATGGAAATGGAGCGTAGTGTATAGTGCGACTTAAGAAAGAAAACAAGAAATCAATTCAGTTACGTGACAAATAATTCTGGATTTTATTTTATTATTATTCCTGGAAACTCGCGCAGTATCAATATCCATCTAAATCTTGAAGAGTAAAATTAAAGCGATGTTCCATTTAACAGCGAAAACATGCCTGAGAAATTTGTGTTACAATATTAGTATTAACGGCCATTAAATATCTATCGGGTTCGTATCCTGGCCGAGGAGGATTTACTGGGCGCAAATCCTTAACTGTAGCCTCTGTTTAACTCAACAGTAAAATGTGTATTTGGTTGTAAAAACTATTCTTCGCGGCGGGGATCGTATTCCAGGGACCTGCCCGAAACGCTACGCGTAATAGTGGCTGTACAAGAATGTAACAACTCTTGTATATATCTCAAAAAAAAAAAATCTAGTAAAACCACTAGTTCGGTCTGAGGGACGAGGCTGTCTCGTCACGCTCAAGTTATATGGTACAACACTAATTAATAGATTTTTAATTAAATAATTACCACCAGCGATGTTTGTGTTAATATAATATTGGTTGAATATTGATTGTTAATTCATAAACATGAATTGTATATACAAGCAACTCGAATGTTTGAAATACATGAAACAAAATTTTAAAATTATTATATAGTAACTTATAGTTAATGCATTCATGTTGATGGAAATTTATCTACATCTATGAGAAAATGTTTGTCTGTCAAAAGTTAAAGGCCAGACACCGCATAGCCTTGGCTAATTTTCACCCATAAGCCAGTTAGGGTTCGCTCTGGTGCCACATTTTTAAGAAATATCGGCATCTAATTCCACCCCCCCCAATACGATTTTCATGAAGTTAAGTCTGAAATATTTTTTTGTCTGTAGACTTATTTAAAAATTCTAGTTTATATAATTTTTCTGAAAGAGTATAGGGAGGGGGGTGTTTGAAGAGAGGAGGGTAGAAAGGGGGAGAGGGGAAGGATTGAGCGAGAGGGGGGGGGGTGGAGGAGAAAGGTAGAGAGGGGAGTAATGGGGAAAGAGATAAGGAAAAGGGGGGAAGAGAGAGACCCCGGGTGTCGCCGGGTGCCCTCACTAGTTTGTTATGATTTATAGATGCAACGAAAGTTTATACAAATTATTTTTACAGCTAACTATACCAATTTAGTTTATAATGACTTACATGCCTGCGTTCTGACTATATATTTAATTCCTCCGTGAACCAGCGACAGTAGAGCTGCCTAACTGTTAACAATATAACGGCTGTTAAAAATCGTCTCCATGAAAGTAAATGTTGGAGTGAGAAGCCGGAGTGACAAGTGAGTAGCCGGAGTGACAATTGAGTAGCCGGAGTGACAAGTGGGGTACACACGGACACACGGATCAAGGTCCGTTGGGCCAAGTACTGACATGGACGTTGTATTTTAGGTTATTATATTATATAGAATTAAAATCAACGTCTTAAAATTTGTGTTATTATATTACATTGGATAGAAATCGTGTATTTTAAATTAACATAAAAATATACTGTTGACTTCAGATAAACAAATGATGTTATAGCTTGGCGCCTGCTTTTGGAAATTGCTTTCTTCATGTAAACAAAATTTATACGATTAAGAACTGTATACAAAACAAAATTGTATCATAAATGTCATAATAAACAAATACTGTATACTATTAATTGTTCATCAGGCCTGTTCAACGCCAATGGCCTTCACTGGTACAACGGGCGGCGGTTTGCGGTGCGCCACCTGCGGGAGATGGGGATGGGCAAGTCGAGCATGGAAACCACTATCCAGTACGAAGCCGCCCGCCTCGTCGAGGACTTCAACAAATACTCGGGCCACAGCCAGACGCTTCCTTGGTCCATTAACGTCGCATTCCTCAACGTCATTTGGAAGTTAACCGCAGGTGACTTTTTATCGATTTAAGGAAGAGAACCCGAGTGTCACTTGAACAGTGGTTGACTTGCATGGTTCAACGCAGTAGCTATGACTGTCACACTAGCACAGTAGTGTAGAAGACTGACTGTCACATTAACACAGTAGAATACAAGACTGACTGTCACACTAACATAGTAATGTAGAAGACTGACTGTCACATTAACACAGTAGAATACAAGACTGACTGTCACACTAACACAGTAGTATAGAAGGCAGACTGTCACACTTAACACAGTAGTATCTAAGTCTGTCTTATTAACCCAATATGTAAGGCTGTCACTTTTTCAGATCGTCGGTACGAAGTTGACGACCCTGAGGTCCAGTCGTTGCATCAGCTGATTACATCGTTGTTTATTGACTTCCAAGGTAACGTAGTGTGGTTTGACCTGTTCCCATGGGTCATCCCCTACACCCCGCAGTGGCTCGTCGACTGGCTAAATATTGGAGAAATGAGTGTGAAGGCGAGGAAAATCAAGAATTTCATGCTCGTAAGTAGTGCAAACGTAGAATTTGTCTCCTAACCTTCCATATACGAACTGGCTTGTGTGGAGCCTAACGGTCTGTTACTAGTTGATTTTCTTTGTGCTGCATGATGTTGATTTTGAAGCTTTGAGATATTTCAATTAAAAGTCCTGAAATACACCAAATAACAAATCTGTCAGCTGTACTTAGTCTGTCGAGGAAATATTCACGGTAAATAACCGAATATAAGGCAATCTCTGTCCAAGCCGGAATTTTATATTTGTCAGGTCATATAAAAAAAAAAAAGTCAATGTTAAAAAAGCCTCAGAAACTTGAGCTACTGCTGCGTGTTATTTGTAAATTAACTATATACTGTAATAAAAATTAATTTTTCGTAAAGGAATATTACATTATATTTTGTTTTTACAAATACACAAACAATATAACATTCCTCTTAAAGAAGCGTCAGTTGAAGGCATCCTGTTGGTAATTGTGAAGAGCCTCGGTTCCTTACACACTACTAGGTAAACACAGTAGAATCCAAAACCCTATACTAGCAATACAATTATGACGTCATAGTGATGTCACACGTAGTACACACTATATATAAAACAATTTTATCTCTCCTTTCCATTAGGTTAGGTTAGGATTGGTCAGAGTAGATTTGGTGAAATTGTAAAGATAAAAATTCCCGTTGAGGTAATGATTAAGACCTTTCATGCCCTCTGTAATGCTTTTTTGCACTATCACTCACAGGGTGAGTATGGGGTGCACAATAAACTTGCCGATTTTAGCGGTAACACTCAGGTTAGGTTTGGTTTGTTAAAAAACGAAAAAAAAAGAGTAGCGGTGATGTAGAAGGACCATAGTTTACTCAGGTCTGAGACCCTACTCGATAACTATAGCTAAAGTAAAGTAACTGCATTATTAGCTTACGAATAATATGCTATATCATTAAATAACGGTTATTCGGCGGGTTCCCTGACAGGAGGAGATCAAGAGGCACCGAGCCTCGCTGAACCCCGACGACATCCGGGACTACATCGATGCTTACCTGGTGGAGATGGAGAAGGAGAACCACCAGGAGTCCACCTTCTGCGGTAACCTCTCTCAATTACCTAAACTTTTACCTCTTATAGTTCCTATTATCATATTTCTTTATTCTCATTGTTAATATAATTTAAGTACTTTATGGTTATGCATGTTCTTTAACCCTCTTAAAACTTTAAACAGCTCATGTTTCAAGTCCAATACCCGATACAAATCGCTCTGGAAACGCCCTGTAAGAATCTAGACACAATATTTGAATGGGTATTTATAGAAATGAGAAGCTTATCATGTCTACAAGTGTGTTTCAATATAATGGTATTATTTCAATTTCACTGCATCAACACGTAAACTATTTCCAGAAATTCAAAGTTTTATATTAAAGTAAAAATGATCTTCATTGCCCCATAGGGTGGGGAAACGTTACCCTGTTGAAAATAAAGGTCATACATGTAAAGTAAAAGAAGATTAGAAATATTACAAACACTACACATACACATTCACCACATCTTATATACTTGTCAACACCCCATCCAGCAAATCGACAACAATCCACCGCATCATAAGCACGTGTTCAGTTGTCCTATAAAATAAATATAAATTATCTCTCTCTTCACTCTCCATTTCCTCATGTCTGCACCATCTTGGCTTTCCTCTCTCCCTCCCTCCTACGCTTACATTCTCTCATATATACTTTTCTCACCTGTCATCATTGTCCATTCTTTCATCATAGCCAAACGATCTTGTAACACACACCTTCCAGTCTTGTGATTTAAAAACTTTTCTACTTTTATTTTAATACATTTCAATTCGTTTATATATTCTCCTACTATTATATTCTCCATATCTACTGTAAATGATCCAAGGGAACAATTATTTAAGCAGAAATTCCTGAGATTTTACATTATCCGCAGAGGATGACTTGTGGATAGCTGTAGCGAACCTGTTCATTGGTGGGACGGAGACGGTGTCGGCGACGATGCGGTGGTATATTATGTATATGGCTCAGTACCCTGAGGTACAAGCCAGGGTGCAGCAGGAGATCGACTCGGTGGTGCCCCGTGACACCGCCCCGGCTCTTGAACACCGTGACAAGTGAGTGTCTTCGACCAAACACTTTTGATATATAGATATTAAGTGTATATTACATTTATGAAAGACAATCTTTGTTTTATTATTTTTGTAAATATATGTTGTACAAAGCTTGGTATTCCAGGCTGCCGTACACGGAGGCTGTGGCCGCTGAGGTTAATAGGCTCATCTCTGTGTCTCCAACGGCCCTGCCTCACTTGGCCACACGAGACACTGAGCTCTTCAACTACACCATTCCCAAGGTTACTGTTGTGTGTGGTTTGCACCCTTATTAACAACCCTTGAATATGGCAACCTATAATAATATACCTGTACTGTAGTTGGTCTTTTGTAAATGTTAGCTTAAGACTGTGATGAGTGCTTGGGCTGTGTAATCAGCAACAACGTTTTACCTGTAGCACTATTTCCCACATAATGTTTGAGTGAGTTTCAACCTTGATGCGTCAGAGAGCGTTGCAGTACACACTGTTATCTTTACAATTCAACATTTCTGTGCATATAGGTCATAGGTAAATGCCCAACACTCAGCACGTGACTCAATACTCATTTCGTGACTATTCTTTGTTTTTCTTTTGTGTGTTCAGGGGACGATTCTGATCGCACACCAGGAGTGTTGCCACAGGGACCCCAACTACTGGGAGAAGCCAGACCAGTTCTACCCCGGGCACTTCCTCGACAAAGATGGTAACTTCATCAGCAAAAAGGAGAGCTACATCCCCTTCAACATTGGTGAGGAAAATATACTCGATATTTTCTATGATGTATATTCTTTATGACACAAATCCTTATTTACCCCATATAACAAACCAGCTCTAACTCAAGTTTGTTTTTCATGTTTAAGAAAGGCAGCTAGCATGACTAAGGGTCGAATTATCTTGGTCTTCTCCCACAGGTCGGCGTCAGTGTCTGGGCGAGTCTCTGGCACGGATGGAGCTCTTCCTCTTCCAGGCTACCTTAATGCAGAACTTCACCTTCTCCGTCCCCAAGGGGGAAAAGTTGCCCTTTGAGAAAGACCCAACCATTCGTATTGTCAACATCCCCAAGCTTTGCAATGTTGTTATTACCAAAAGAAAATAGATTACTGCACTATCAAATGGATATTTTCCTGTAACATTGTTGCATCTTTTTCTTACTAAAAATATGGCACCTTAATTAACTTTTATATTCGGTTTCAAATGCAAGTCACCTTGGACCTCGTGGTTTTATTACCGGCTAATACTTTTTTTAGGTATTAATACCTAATATTAATAATTAGTATAATTATACTTTTATAATTATAAAATTATAATACTTTTCAAAGTAATCGAAGAAAGTCTCAACAAAGACAGTAGACACATCCAGTACTAAATTAGGGCTTAATTATCTTCAATTAGGGCTGGGTACAATTGCAGATGAATAATCTTAAATAAAATATTTATTTTAGACCTACAAGTAGTGGTTTTTATGAAGCAGCCCGACCTCTCCAGCGTTCACAACACCATTAAACTGGTGTACTAAATTGCCCGAACCTAACCAGAGGACCCGCGAGTAGAAAACACTACATCACGTCACTTTTGCCAGCCGCTATGGTTTTTACTACGTCAGTTTTTAGCCTTAGCGGGATTTATACGTCAAAATGCGATGTACTGTTCAAGAGGATTGTTGATTGTGGGCACCTGGGAACAATCCTAAATTGCCCTTATGAGAACTAGAAGACGAACCTCTAATAGTGCCATATCATATATCCATTACTGTTGGGTGAAGGAATTATGCTCAGCTGTTCCTCTGTGTCAAGAGTTCGAGCCAGGTGTTCTTGCCTGTGAGGTGCGCAAGCATGGGTTATCTTGAGATGATTTCGGGGCTTAGTGTCCCCGCGGCCCGGTCCTCGACCAGGCCACCCCCAGGAAGCAGCCCGTGACAGCTGACTATCTCCCAGGTACCTATTTACTGCTAAGTAACAGAGGCATCAGGGTGAAAGAAACTCTGCCCATTGTTTCTCGCCGGCGCCCGGGATCGAACCCGGGACCACGCGTCCAGTGTTCTGTCCGCTCAGCTGCCGGCTAGGGTGCCGCCTATTATACCTCAAGGCTTTGTCAAAGTGTGTAACAGTGATTTCTGACCCAATAATTTGTTGTACCGAGTTACGTAGTCACAGCGATAGGCTTTCCGGCCAAAACTGTCCTAGCTACCCAAGAATATCCAGCGACACTGATGGTGCTACGTAGTCCTCCCGGCTTGTGCCTTCTTTATCTATAATTACTGTACTAAGATGTAGTGGACGTCTAAAACAAAGATAATTATCTTGTAAGATTTTATATTTTAGACATATTACATGCACCTTGACATTGTCAATATATATCCTTGAAAAAATTCTGATACGAAACCTATGTAAAAAAATAGAAGACTTTCTAGTTTACTTTTTATTTAATATTTTTACATTATTGTGTTATTCATTTAACTCAGTTGTAGAGGAACGAGAAGTAACTATATATGGCGACAGGGCTGGATTTTTTAAGGATTTGTTTGAAAGAGGAGAGGAAAAAAATTCACTACTAGGAGGAGGATGGCGAAGAATGGGAAGGGGGTGAGGGGTTGCTAAAGCATGGGAAGATGTTAACTGGTTAAGAATTTTGATGGAATTTAATGCAAATGGGAACACGATTTGTTTTGCCAGAGTGAGAACATGCAAGATAGAACACGTATTAAGAGTCGATGATAATGAGTGGCACGTTTGATACTAATACCGAACGTATAAATACATTAAGACCAAGTACTGATGTGCTAAAAATCATAGCAGCTCGCAAAATTTACGCAATGTCACATTTTCTATTCGTGGGTCCTCGGTTAGGCTAGGTTCGGCCACTTTAGTACATATGCTTAGTGTCGTTGGGAACGCTCGAGAGGACGAGCTGCAAATTGACCTAAACTCATTCATGTATATATTCAACATACGCTGAAAATATAGTATAGAATACTAGGACTTATTCTAGAAGTATCAGGAACAAGAACAAGATTTTTTTTTAATAATGTTTTGGGTACACACAGCAATGTGCTGCTACACTAATCTACATAATCTGATGGGTAATAATCTGAATATAATCATAATCTGATTATAGATTAAAAGATAGATGTGAGTTTGTTTCAGTTAGGGGCATTTGTATTTGGTTATAATTAAAAAAAATATCTCATTAAGGAATTAAGCAAGGCTCAGGCCCCCAGGGAGGTGAAACTCCCTCCAAATAATAAATTTAGCATTAAAGTAGCATTCTGGCTACCCAGGCAACCAGTTAAAATAGCCTACTGGTTATAAGTGGCTCCAACACATGTCTCGCAGGTTATTTTTCCCGCCGACCGTTTGTACTTCGGACGACAAACCCTCAATATATAATTCACTATATTATGTAGCTATTACTACCCTACATACGCAAATAATCATCACTAAATTATTAAATAATTAAGTAACGTTTACTTTAAACTCAGATCCTAAAATATTAAATCTGGTAATAAAAATCATGTTCTCCAAACATCTTCCATAGTAAAACAATCATGGCTTCCACACTCGCCCAGATCGTGAGAGTTCATTTACTATCACCGTCTCAGAGGATGGTTAGTCATATATGGAATCAGGAGAGAAGGTGAGATGCGTCTAGTCTACCAGCCTGCACTACCAAACTCTGGGTAAGAGTACAAGAATAGCTTCCAGTATCCGTGAGTGTATGTAGATAAAGAGCTCAAAGTACCTCATACCATTTGGTCAAGTCATCGATAACAGGGAAAACACATATAGTGTTGGAGAGTATGTCCCACCTCTTGTTCACATAGTTTACAATTGGAATGTTAACTAATGGGAGTAGATTCATTACCTGCAGCCACCTGCCATAGATATCGGTATCCCCAGTCTAATTCTGGCAACTACAATGTCACACTGTCTTGTGGATGTTTTGTACTGTCCGTACATATAGTTCTCGGTTCTAAACATGTCATAGCTCTTTATACTCGTGCTTTCTGCCTTTTGAGTGTCATGAGGGGGAAAAATACATTATTATTCTTTAGCGTCATCTTGCTCAAAAAAAATGATGCCTCTCCTGAAGACCTTATTATCAATTCCTCACAACCAGTGTTGTCGAGTATTATTAAATCGTAAACACAAGACGGTTCGACAAAGCTCGTTTTCCGGTTGTCAAAACCTTTTATGTTGTTAGGTTAGGGTGGACAGTATTAGGTTAGGCTAGGTAGGGTTAGGTTAGGGTGTATTAGCTTAGGTTAGGCTAGGCAGGGTTCAAAATTCGTTAGCGAACCGTCTTGTGTACGATGTGACGTGTCCAGTGGTGTTGTCATAGTGACGTCATCAACAGACTATACGTAACAGCCCACTTTATGTACAGTCTGAAGTGTGTGCCTTAGAAGGCAGTGCTCCCGGTTTGTCTTAGCACTGTACTAAGGCCATTACATTACATTACACCCGGAAACCATCATTGTATGTTGACGAGGCCATTCCTGGCGGGACCATTCCCGTCTCTTTCCTGGCAGATGACTGGGCACTGCATGAAGGCCATAGGGTGAGTGCCAACCTGTCCTCTCGCATAACACATGGCATTTTTGACGTAAAAATCCTCAACGTTATAGTAAGATGCACTAAAAATGATAGCAGTTCGTAAAACTTACGTGATGGCCCGTTTTCTTTTCGAGGGTCCTCTGTTAGGTTAGGTTTGGGCAATTTAGTACATCATTTAGTGCATTTAGTTTAGTGCAGTTCCCGTGGCGTAGTGGTAAGACGCTAGCCTGGTGTTTCGCGACCGGTTTGGCCTGGGTTCGTATCATGGCCGGGGAGGATTTACTAGGCGCCAATCCTTAACTGTAGCCTCTGTTTACCGTTGTTAGAAGAATTTAACGATTGTTAAGCGATTTGGCGGATTGTATTCTGGGGAATATTATGATTAAGGACCTGCCCGGAACGCTATGCGTGCTAGTGGCTGTACAAGAATGTAAGAACTCTTGTATATATAAGAAATAAATAAAATAATTTAAGCGACGTAAACACTCGACAGGATGGGCTGATCTCAGACGATGATTGGCCAGCATCTTGCAAGTTAACTGCTTATGATAAATTTATGGGTTCCCATAGAATTAGAGCATTTATGTCATAAATAATATCCAGTTTATTTACTCAAAATAAACGGTATAAATATTAAAACTCTTTAGATAACAAATCTTTATGATCTATTTTTAATGATGATGTCGTACTGCTCTGGCAAGTTCACAAGGCGGATTTCAGGGTTCTTCTCGGTGGAGGCGTGAACACCCGCAGGCAGAGAGAAGGTGAAGTTCTGCAGGAGACCAGCGTAGAAGAAGAACAGCTCCATGCGTGCTAATGACTCCCCAGGGCAGATCCGACGACCTTCATATAACCAATAATTTTAAGAATTATTATAATTTAAAAGACAAAATCCTAATTATGCAAAAAAATCAAGAACTAACAATGTAAAATGGGATCGTCAACACTTTTTCAACTCTAAGGAAAATAATATGTTCACGCAATAATTTGCGAAATACTTTTCAGCTATGATAACGAGCACATGAGCATTGTGTACCACCCACCAACTGAGAATGGCAGGAAACCATCCTTCTTGATAAAGAATTTGCCGTTCTCGTCGATGAAGCGCTCTGGGTAGAACCTTTCAGGGTTGTCCCAGTACTGCGGGTCAGTGTGGCAACACTCCTGGTGGGGGATCACCACTGCTCCCTGTTTGGATTAGATGAAGCGTGAAATTCTTAATGTTTCAGGAACATGTTCTCGTGAGCTGCGCTCCTTAGAAGGCAACTGAAAAGCACAAGATAATAACTAAAGAAAATATATTTGAACGTTTGTCACGTAGAAAGTAAACTTGGACAAAACTCTCCGCGTCTGTGTTATGAACCAAGAGCAGGTAGTGGTGATTACATAACGGGGAAATTGTATGCATTATGTTGTACCGTCAGTAGTTACATAAAGAGGACCTGCCTCTCACTCTCATGACCATTGTTCAAGCCCAGGTTGGCTTGAGGAGGAGTTGCGTGCACACAAAATTCATGTGCTTGGATGAGGACAGGAAGCCTGTTAGGTTTATCGAGGTCCACCTGTGCCATTGACTGGCCTCCTTCAGAATGCAGCTCACAACAGTTGCCTAGCTCTCAGGCACCTGTTTACTGCTAGGTGCAAGGAAATGTGCTCATGCCACAATACCTCGCCCTACCTGGGAATTTAACTCTGGGTCAATCAGCTGCGAACCTACAGCGCTGCAGGAACTGTATTTACACAGGTGTGTGTATGATTATTTAGAATATTTATCTGTTACACTATAGGAACACCTCAAAACAGAATATGTGTGAGAAGAGTCTACACACCTTAGGGATGGAGTATCCTGCCAGCTTGGTGTCCTTGTGAGCGAAGTGGGGGATGCCGAGGGGAGTGATGGACACCACCCTGTGGATCTCCTGCGTCAGGGCCTCCAGGTACGGCAGCCTGGCCAAGGACACCTATTTTAGTGCTCAGTTCATAAAATAATAGGGAAGTTATAAATGTATATTATTTTCTCCTCTCCTCTCACTATATTATGCACTAATTTACCCCTATCTTAATTATGGTATCTGTGCATGGGGGTCTACCACTGCAAACCACCTTAAGCCCATCATCACACAGCAAAAATCTGCTATCAGAATGATAACTAACTCAGCTTTCAGACAACACTCAGCTCCCTTGTTTAAATCCCTAAACTTGCTAAATATTAACTCCCTCCACACATTCTCTTGTGTCAACTACATTTACAAAACCCTGTTCTTAAATGCAAACCATGCTCTGAAACTCTCCCTGGACAGATGTAATAGGACCCATTATCACCACACCAGAAATAAATATCTCTTTGATATCCCCAGGGTCAAACTCAATCTGTGTAAACACTCTATGCAAATTAAGGGACCTAGTTTATGGAACTCACTCCCTAGTGAATTGAAAAACTGTAAAACTTTTGCCTTATTTAAAAGCAAAACCAAAAAGTACCTAACTTCATCTTCTTAGTTTCCTACACTGAGCTTTAAATTTGCTCTGTACCTAGTGTTACCCAATCTCCTAATTTTTATGTAATTTCAAACAACCTTATCATTGTGTTCATTGCTGTCTTCTTTTATGTGCTAGCCATATGCTGTATTGTGACTACCAATTTTTGTCAACTACCATTCAAGCTGTCATTGCAACCAATCTTATATTGTTTCTGCTGTATTATGCCTACCAATTTTTTTGTCAACTACCATTCAAGCTGTCATTGCAATCAATCTTAGCTACCTATGTGCTTTAATATACTGTACCTACAATTTTCTCTCATCTTTTTTTTCATTTCATGTAATCTGTTATCATTTTTTGTCTATAATTTTGCAAGTATTTACCTCCTTAAAATTTTCTTAGATTAAGGACCTGCCCGAAACGCTGCGCGTGCTAGTGGCTTTACAAGACTGTAATTACCATATTTGTATCCTCACATTCCTTATGTACATTCTTGTATATGCATAAATAAATAAATAAATAAATAAATAAATAAATAAATAAATAAACAAATAAATAAATAAATAAATAAATAAATAAATAAATAAATAAATAAATAAATTTTAAACGCACGCTTTATAACTGACAAAGTATCTGGTAGACACGTTTTCTTTGATAAGCCCCTACAGTCAAATTCTTGGGGATACTCAAGCAGGCCTGAATTTTGCGTTACACATATTTGAGGATGTAATGCACTGGCAATAAACCTAACCTAACCAAGGATAGTAAGTACATTAAAACACTATTTATGTAGTACAGTTTGGTATTAATAATATAAAGCAAAAATAGATTAGGCGTGGTGATTACCATGAAGGTACATACCCCCTGGGGACAGGTTAAGGCTCAGAGTTAATCTTGATATTAGATTATCTGAATAACTTAGGTTACTGACCTCGGGATATCACTGAGGGAGGGAAGAGTGTCCCTGGGAACTACAGAGTCGAGTTCTCGCTGAGCCTTGGCTTGCACATCTGGGTATTTAGCAAAGTAAAGTATGGCCCAGCGCATAGTGGACGAGATGGTCTCCGTGCCCGCGATGAACAGGTCCGCCGTGGCCATCCACAAGTCCTGAACTGAACGTAGTCACCGTGAGTGTGAAGCATGAGAAAGGGAGTTAGGGAGAAAATTAATGTTTTCTTGTGGCTGTAAAATATATTGCTGTCATTAAGTTTAAGTGGTTCTGCAATTTTCAGTAGAACACATAGTTAATTTTGTGTCATAATGATTTTTCCCATTGTCGGGGACAGATGCCTGTTTGAGTTATCACCGGCAAACAACTGACCTTCTCAGAATGTCCCTTAAAATAGTTGCTTAACTCCAGGGTACATATTTACTGCTAATTGAACAGAGGCATTAGATGGAATCCCGAAAAGGAGTCGTTCAGCGCACTGGACGCTACCTACGTAAGAACACTATTGGAGTGTGGCCCCTGCACGCAACATCCATGTTATACAAAAAAAAAACACACACACAATACGGAGCTTGAGAGAGTTCAAAGACGTGCCACAAGACTAGTCTCAAAATAAGAGGACTGGAGTACGTGGAAAGACTGAGGGAGCTGGCTCATACTATATTAGATAAGAGACGAGAATGAAGATACACGATTGTGGAGCATGAGATCATAACGAAGAATGAAATATGTAATAGATGCTAAAAGCAACGTAGACGGAGACATAATTAAGCATTTGTTTAACCTAAGATTAGTGAATAATGGAGTGATATAGAAAAGGTAGTCGATGCACCGCACATAGGATTATGTGTAGATATGTTAATAATCTATTTAGTTTGGAGCCTTTGCATAAGACGAACGACAGCTAGAAAGATGGAACCCAAGAGCTGACGCTCACCCCTGCCGGCACAAGTAGATGGGTATACTCTCACATACAGACATACTGATGACCAAAGTCTGCATAAGCTACAGTGGGGAATAACCTACGGTTCAAGTTATGTGTAATAAGCCCATTAGATAGAGCAGAGTCTTACTGCTGAGGGTAGACTCCGGGTCGTTCTTCTGTGCCTCCATCTCCGCCAGGTAGGCGTCGATGTAGTCCCTAGGGTTGGCCGGGTCCAGCGTCGACTGATGCTCCTTGATAATGCGCTGTAAATTTGTGAGAAAATAGCAATACAACTTAAATATGCGCTTCAGGAGATCCAGCAGTTGTATTTTTAAAATTGGTAGAGAGCTGAGTGGAAAAGTTTACATGGCAACACGACGCTGGAGGAGAGGTTCTGGAGTAGCCTGATGTAATAATTTAGAAAAAGAAGGAAGTACAAATGCATGTGTGTGTGTGCACGTTAATTTGTATGTTTGTGTATTAATATGCATGTGTGTGTATTAATATGTATGTGTGTACATTAATGTACATGTGTGTGCTTTAATTCATGTGTGGGCATTGGTAATGATAATGATAATTTGATTTAGGGAAAAGTACATACATACAAAATTAGTTATAAGCAGAATGTTGGATTTCTAGATAGAGCGAGAATATACTATGTTTAAAGCCACTAATACGCACAGCATTTCGGGCAAGATGTGGGAAAATAAACTTAAAAAACTAATATTTAAAACTAATTGAAATCAACGGCAAGATTTGAACTGCAGTAGAAAAAAAAGAATGACAATAAATACATGTTAAATGGAACAGCAGAAATTGCAGCAAAACGACAGATAGTAATTATAACTAAATAAACAGATGGAATACGATTATTATGTATGTGTTCATTAATATATATGTATGTGCATTGATATGTATGTGCGAGCATTAATGCACATGTGTGTGCGTTAATTCATGTGTGCATTAATATGAATGTGTACATTAATATGTGTATGCGTGCATTAATGTACATGTGTACATTAATATGTATATGCGTGCATTAACGTACATGTGTACATTAATATGTATATGCGTGCATTAATGTACATGTGTGTGCGCAGTAGGATGTGTATATATAGCGTGTGCACTGTACAGGTGAATGTTAATATAAACACCAAGGGGCAAATAAATGACAAAGTTTTCTGGATATTAGGTTGTAATGTCTTCTCAGTAGCTGATACTGACGCTACGGGTTAGTAATGTTTATTGTGTTTGTTGTATACCTTGATGAAACATTAGACCTGCGTTACTGACCAGCATAAAGTGTTTGATTTCCTGTGCTTTTTCGTGCATATTGGCTACCCCTGTCAACTTGTTGACAAAGTTAGGCACGAACTTGACAACTTCTGGGATGAGGTCAAACCAAATGACGGGACCTTGCAAGTCAGCAAATGCTGAGGTGATCATCTTGTTGAAATTTTGAATCTCCACGTCATCTACATCGTAGCGGCGATCTATATAAAAAGATTATTCTATAAAATAACGCACGAATTTTGTTATCACGAGTATTTGGATTTCTTTCATGTGAATAGAGAATTGTATAGTCGTACTTGACACGAGTTTCCAGATGACGTTGAGAACGGCAACGTTGATGGACCAGGGGAGGGGCTGGGCTACACCCGTGTGCTTCTTGAAGTCCGCCACCAGACTCTGCGCCTCACGCTGCATGAAGTCCTCCATGATGGACTTACCCATGCCCAGGTCCTTGAGGTGACGCATGGCCAGTCTCCGGCTGTTCTGCCACACTCGACCGTTACCGTTAAACAGTCCTTTCACATAAACACGAAAGGAAAATGTTTACTTTCTTCTTGCTAGGTATATATTGTATAGCATTGAAAGGTTAGTGTGTTAGCCTCATGATTTTTTTTAACTTGTTATTCATCTTTGAACACTGAATACATAACCGTGGAGAAAGACAAGCTCTTTAGCACGGGAACACGAACAAGGGGACACAGGTGGAAACGTAGTACCCAAATGACCCACAGAGACATTAGAAAGAATTTTTTTCAGCGTCAGAGTAGTAAACAGATGGAATGCATTAAGCAGTGATGAGATGGAGGCCGATTCCATACACCAGTTGATTGATGGCTGATCGGCGGGACCAAGGAGCCAAAGCTCAACCCCCACAAGCACAGCTTTATACTTTAACAACACAATTTATACTTTAATCTCAATTAGTATTTAGTTTTAGTCTTTAGTGTTTTTCCTGCCCGAAACGCTTTGCGTCATAGTGGATTTAGGCATTGTATGTACTAGCTCTATCTATGAATTCATCAATGTTTGTATCACACCTTGCATGTATGTACTTTACCTGAATTTTACATTTCAATTTCAATTTCAATTTGAACTTGGTGAGTACAACCGCTTTATAGTATTTTACATTATTTTATGCAACATTAAACGATGGTAATATATAAATAGACTTAAGTAATTATATGTATTTAATCAATTAAACAGTCAAAGATTTTTAAGAAAAACATCTGCAACGACATCACAGAAATCATATAACATACAAAGTTAAGTCCCATTAAGTTTCGATATTTTACAGAAAACTTATTTTATAACATAACGTTTAAGTTTTAACTAAAACTATAGACTTCGAGAAATCGTCCAACACTATTTTTCAAGTATTAGTATTGCTCACAACTGATGAGAATATTCTAAGCGGGTCGGATGAAACCTCATAGGTAACATGTTAAAAAATGTGATAATTTGCTTAATTTAAAAACTTTATTTTATGAGATATTTTAATGGTAAAGCCGTTAAGGTATCAAAAGCGAATATTATTTTCACTTTCTTTCTTTCTTCTTATTTTTCTTTCTTATCTGATAATTTTTAATTAGGCGTATTATATTTGGTAAACTATAAGTATGGTTCATATTACTATCTGCTTGGTGTGTGTGTGTGTGTGTGTACTCACCTAGTTGTGTCTGCAGGATCGAGCATTGGCTCTTGGATATGTGTGTGTGTGTGTATGTGTGTACTCACCTAGTTGTGTCTGCAGGATCGAGCATTGGCTCTTGGATATGTGTGTGTGTGTGTGTGTGTGTGTGTGTGTTCATGTAGTTGCGCTCTGCTCTTTCGGCCCGCCTCTCAATGTCAATCAACTGTTACTAAGTAATTTTTTTTTCACACACACACATCCACCCTCAGGAAGCAGCCCGTAACAGCTGTCTAACTCCCAGGTACCTATTTACTGCTAGGTAACAGTGACATTAGGGTGAAAGAAATTCTGTCCACTTGTCTCTGCCGGCGCCGGGAATCGAACCCGGGCCATAGGATTACGAGTCCTCGTGCTGTCCACTCAGCTACCAGACCCCTACATGTGTGTGTGTGTGGGGGGTGAGGGGGACTAACAGACGGCGTCCACCACCAAAACTCACCATATTTGAAAAACTCAGTAAAGAGGTCAATGCTGTAGAAGTCTGGTCTGTCTTGTAGGTCTGGGTTAGCGAAGGCTGATTTGATCAAGTTGTAGTTACACAAATATATGAAGATGCGGGTTCCCGTTCTCCATCTAGAGCCAGAGGTAATATATGAATACATGAACTTGTGTAAGTATTTACGCATTTGCTTCATATTTATTATTTTACCTAATTGGTATAATTATTCCATTGTGAGCCACTGTGTCCAAGGAAATAGGTTTAATAGACTCACGTGATGATGTCGCCATATTTCGTTCTGAGCTTCTTCGCCTGGTCACCCACGAAGGTGTCTTTGGCTGGCAGCGACCCCACCACCGGCCACCCCCACACTCCTGTGGGCACATACACAACACCTCTCAAAATGGCTTCATTTTTCACTTAATACTAATGCGATCATGCGCTTTGCTGCTATATTTTGTTCGTGCTTTGCTTTATTACTTGGCTAACAGGTAACTGCCTAAGTTTTATTCTCATATTTATATTCTATAAAAATACATTTCGTAATGTAATAGTTTCCTTCAGCTCTGGTTTGCTGTATTAAGTTCTTCAAGGCTTTGGCAACGTTCAGAAATGTAATTTTTTTCCGCCTAAAATCTTGTGTTACCTGGTGGTAGGTCTTTAGGTTTCTTGTTGAGAAAAGCGAGGAGCAGCCCCAGGAGCAGCAGCCCCAACAGCGCCTCCGTCACCATGGCAGCGGTGAGCAGTACACTGTCACTCTCAGTCTGCCGCCAGTGACCATAACCTTGTGTTAGCTGGTAAAACTATCGCCCTCAGTTTCAATGCCGCACAATTATGCTACGATTAATCTCGAAATATTGTTCTGTTTGGGCATGGTCTTCCGATTATGCAACAGCAACATGTGGTATATGTTCTCGCTAAGAGTACAACTACGATGAAAATGTTACGCCATGCAACTGAATGAACAGTGAATGATGTTAATTATCTTATATGGTGAGGTTGAGACAAATATTGGTGATGGTGGTGGCACTACAGGGGTGCGTTGATACTAGCCTCCACTATCTCTCCTCAGCACGCTGAAGTTGTGCTCCAGCGAATCCCGAAGCATGTTGTTAGTTGGTTTTCAGGTTCAGGCTAGGTACACTGGGAAACCGGTTTGGTTATTCAGCGCCATGATTTTTCCCAGGATACTATATCCAGGACATCAACTACTGCTGGGGGCACAGGATTCGAATCCATTTTCCCTTAGTTGCAAGGAGAGTTTGCTAATGATTCCACCGGGTGTTCCAGGAAGCATATGTCCACTTCTCAACATGCTTATATGAACAGCGTGTTGCTGTTAAGACTATACCAGACAGTTAAGACAGCCTAGCTCTTTTGTTATTTTTAACATGGGAGAAAATGCGTTCTGTAAGGCAAGAATTTCTTAAAAATAGTATTTGTGCATTTGTCAGGCATTTCATAAATTTGTACTCTCAAATATACTTTTTCAAAGCGAACTTTGCTCTTTAATAATAGCTGAATGTTGGACATCCGCTTTCTATGGAACATTTCGATGATTTCCTAAAGCGATATGAACATCTCAAGAATATAGTTCTCTAACACTGTAGTAATATAAATATGGAAACGTATGATAATTGTTTGGTAAAATATTATTTTTTATTAATTTTGTATCATCACTCATTGTGGCAGTGAGTGAATCATTCTGGATCACAGTCATTGTCATAGAGTCAATAATTCTGTATCACTATTTATTGAGCAACCTGTCCTCAGGCCAAGCTCGTTAAAGTGGCGGCCGTACCCCCACCCCACTCCCCAGATGCATTCATAAATTTTAACGCATTGCGTATGTGTTCTCTCATTTATATAAATTAATATTATTTTATATTAAAGTTCTATGTATAGTTAGTCATATGTTAGGTGTTTATGTTCTGTTGGCGATTATTTGCACTTGAATTACATGGGTGAAGCACTTACAAAGTTGCAGTTCGAACAGAGGTCATCAGCGAAGCATTGTTTGAGAAATGTTCGAACGTCATCATTTGTAAGTCGTGTATAAACCGTTTTTAATTAATGAACAGGGGGTTTGGCGGCTGGATTAACGAGCATTTGGCCTTTGTTACCGAGGAGGGGTTGTGCTTTGAGCATAAAAAGTAAGCGAATCACTGTTCGAGAAAAGCTCGGAAATTCTGAGTTATTAATCACATGTAACGTGTTTTTTATTAATAGGAGGGTGGCTGCTGGATTTATGGCCAAATGCTAGTTAAACCAACCACCAAACCCCTTGAAAAACACTACACACGACTCACAATACACGACGTTTGAGCTTTTTTTTTTTTTTATCAGTCTCGCTTACTTCCTCTGTTCGATTCGCACCTCTTTAAATGCTTCACCCACGTACAGCAAATAAATCCAGTCCGTCCTCCAAACAAAGACCCAAAAGTGATTACATGCATCCGCCAAACCCCCTGTTTATGAATGAAAAACGGTTTACACACAACCCGTCCTCGACTCAAGTCCATTACATTCAGCGGTCAACCCCACAGACGCATTCATAAATTTTAACATGCTTTTCATTCAAAACGGGAATTTTCTCAAGTATAAATTAATATTATAATATATTAACATATTGTGTATATATAGGCATAGGTTAGGTTAGGTTAGGTGTTTAGGTTCTGTTGGCGATTATTTGTATTTGTAGTACGTGGGTGAAGCATTTACAGCGTTGTGGTTCGAACAAAATTCGTCAGTGAAGCACTTGTTCCGGATATGTTCGAACGTCAGCAGTTGTGAGTCGTGTGTAAACCGCTTTTCATTCATAAACAGGGGGTTTGGCGGGTGCATGGAATCACTTTTGGATCTTTGTTTGGAGGACGGGCTGTTACACACGACTCACAACTGATTTCGCTCGAACACTTCCGGAACAAGTGCTTCACTGACGAAATTTGTTCGAACAACAACGCCATAAATGCTTCACCCACGAACTACAAATACAAATAATCGCCAACAGAACGTAAACACCTAACTTAACCTAACCTAACCTATGCCTATATATACACAATATGCCAATATATTATAATATTAATTTATATTTGAGAAAATTCCCGTTTTGAATGAACAGCATGTTAAAATTTATGAATGCGTCTGTGGGGTCGACCGCTGGATGTAATGGACTTGAGTCGAGGACGGGTTGGTCGTGGCATGGGTAGTTTCAGCCAGGCAGCGCCACCACACGATAGGAAGAGGAACAACAGAAGAAAGCAGATTTCACACTTAGTAAAAGAAATCTCGCGTCTTAGTAAGTACTTTAACCAGTGACTGATTCAGGCAGGAGAGACTACATTGCATGCTGAGATGAAGTCATATAAGTATTAGAATATTGCCACTGTGGCTAATTATTCCATTATTCTCAGGCAAGTCTTGTTGCACTTATTGTATTCTTCCCTAGGCCTTCTGTTGTTTAGTGGGGATCATAAATCACCATTTCCACTATCTTCATGTCTCCAAATGTTATTTGGCATGTATTCTTGCTGATCGCTTTCCTCTAATAATTACTCTTCCTCGAAGCTGTGAAATTATCAGAGAAACCAATTAGGATTATGTATGTATTAGAAATATCAATTGATTTACAATCCCCAACTAAACAACAGAAAGACTAAGGAAGAATATGATAAACACAACGAGACTTGCCTAAAGGTAATGGAAAAAGCAACCGCAATATCAAGGAGGTGGGGGGGGGGGACGAGAGCTAGGATTCTAATACCTTGGAATTTCATTCACAGAGAGATAGATTGGATAAATAAGGACCCCCCTTGAGGGGTGAAGAGACATGGAGAGCAACATTGGTAGACACAACACACAGGCATCGCACGGGTGTATGAAGTCTGCGGGACGATTGTGTGGGGGAGGGTCTGAAGGAGAGTGTTGCAGTGCGTGGAGAGTATATATGGGTGTAAGGGAGGATATGGGGATTTAAACGTGCAGAGATATATGGGGAAAAAAGATATATTTTAATCAAAGCTTCTGGAGGTATGTGAAAAATATATATATTGTTATAAGAGTTAAGAGAGAGTAAGGAAGGTGACGTAGGGACGGAAGACTCAAGACGGGAACACAGTGGACGAGCTTGTCATTTTCAACAAATTTATTTATTAACAATTGAGCATTCACAATTGAAGGAAGCAAGGTCATGGCTGACAGCATACTTTGTTGTAACCAACAATCGGTAACGGAGGTGATACAGAGATCAAAGCTGCTGTAGATACACGGACATATCACGTGTCGTATATGTTGGCTGGTTTGTCACAGCTTTCTTAAGTAATGGTGACATAACATATGATCATTTTCAGTGCTCTGCTAAGCGAACAAAACAGGTTAGCAAGAGATTTTAACTTTTAAGCTTTATTAGATTAATTTCGAATCAAGATGCACGAGTTTATATATTTAGTTAGGCATGTTTGTGTTTGTGCCTTCAGTGTTGTTTTCCTTCTAAAGCCTTGATGTTAAGGATAAATGATGTTAAGGATAATTGTATTATGAACCATAGTAACTTTCCAAACAGTGGAATTATTAGCTTATTGTCATCTTACTAATCATCTTAGTTACATAACAAATTTATGTTTTTAAATGATTAGATCCAGCTGCCAGTTCCCGCGGGTAGATACAGTACTATATTGGTTATCACGGTGGTGTTCCCAAGGTGAAAGTTATGAAGGTATAACCACCCGACACGGTGATGCCACACTCAGGTGACAGGCTTGGTTATCTCAACTGTTTGTGTCTGAGTAAACAGCTGTTCACCTTTGTTCTTCCAACACGTAGAATCAGTAGGAACTTCTCTTAGGTCATGTTTCTTCAGAGCTAGTTGGCTTATATTCTTGATCTACTGAAATATGTTTACAAGCAGATATCGAAAAATGCGATACATAGCGGTTTCAAAGGGGCGGATTTTAGCAGTGTAGGAGTTTGTTATGTCATGATTATATAAAAACTGGAATATGTTCCTCATGTCATATTTTGAACTATGTTGCTCTTTCATATTCTATACAAACTTGAGTTCGGGAGTGGAGTCGTAACATTCCGCTGGAAATAGTAGGCCTATTGCTAATTACAGTAATTCACTTATTTTTTTCTTTCGTGTGGCCTCTGGCATCATTGTACAGTATATATATACTCCACGTGTGTATACTCCACGTGTGTATACTCCACGTGTGTATACTGGACATAGGGTCTCATGTATTATGGCAACACTGCACCATACACCCATTAAGCGTCATATATCTCCAGCAGTTACTTGACGGGCAAAAGGCCCACTTGGCTTATACGGATTTCTGAATCGGAGTTTATTTCGTTGAGCGTGTTACCTGTCGACCTCATAACACCAATGTGAGGCTTCGTGTTACTCATCTACCTCATAACACCAATGTGAGGCTTCGTGTTACTTGTTGACCTCATAACACCAATGTGAGGCTTCGTGTTACTTGTCGACCTCATAACACCAATGTGAGGCTTCGTGTTACTTGTCGACCTCATAACACCAATGTGAGGCTTCGTGTTACTTGTCGACCTCATAACACCAATGTGAGGCTTCGTGTTACTTGTCGACCTCATAACACCAATGTGAGGCTTCGTGTAACTTGTCGACCCCATAACACCAATGTGAGGCTTCGTGTTACTTGTCGACCTCATAACACCAATGTGAGGCTTCGTGTTACTTGTCGACCTCATAACACCAATGTGAGGCTTCGTGTTACCTGTCGTCCTCATAACACCAATGTGAGGCTTCGTGTTACTCATCTACCTCATAACACCAATGTGAGGCTTCGTGTTACTTGTCGACCTCATAACACCAATGTGAGGCTTCGTGTTACTTGTCGACCTCATAACACCAATGTGAGGCTTCGTGTTACTTGTCGACCTCATAACACCAATGTGAGGCTTCGTGTTACCTGTCGTCCTCATAACACCAATGTGAGGCTTCGTGTTACTTGTCGACCTCATAACACCAATGTGAGGCTTCGTGTTACCTGTCGACCTCATAACACCAATGTGAGGCTTCGTGTTACCTGTCGTCCTCATAACACCAATGTGAGGCTTCGTGTTACTTGTCGACCTCATAACACCAATGTGAGGCTTCGTGTTACCTGTCGTCCTCATAACACCAATGTGAGGCTTCGTGTTACTCATCTACCTCATAACACCTGGAAAAGATACATTTAATTTTTATTTGAATAATTAATATCGAAACAAATCCATATTGTCTCTAGGAATAAAATGGAAATGAAAGACAAAAAGACTCAAGAATAACAAACTTTATTTATAAATAGTTATAGTTTTATAAGTGACTAAGCTTACATATCTTCACGGACATTGTTCACTTACTAGAGGGGGGGGGTTAGAAATAGCCTAAGCTACTTTATCCCCTCGAGATGTATTTTCTTGTCTCAATAAACGTACTTGAACTTAAACTTGTTCACTTATACAAGAACACGGTAAGAATAAAAAGCCTCACACTCGGCCTAACGTTCGCAAAAACACGGAGAAGCGTTGTGTATGTTTCCAGAGTATTAGTGCCTTTATTAAATGTGTACTTTCTATAACAGCTAATTAACATTGTTCTGTATATTTTATATTATTATTATTATTATTATTATTATTATTATTATTATTATTATTATTATTATTATTATTATTATATATAGATGTTAAACCGCAGAATTTAAGAATTTTACTTGTAATCTTAATTCAGACGAGTTGCCTTACAATGTGTTTTTCAAAGATACAATAGCTTATTACTACTAATTAACGTGATAATTTTGATGATCAGTCTTCAATATTATGGAATATGTACTTCATTATTAATAATAGTTATGAGATCATTTTTGCACAGCCTGTTTATCATATATACAATAATTTCTTAGTGCCAATTAACTTAATTATTTTGAATAGAATTGAAAATTATGATGCATTTCAGTATCATTTGTTATAAATATGAGAACATTTCTGTGCAGTCTTGAGTGCGGCAGTGTCCTGCTTGTCTGAAGACGTCCAGGATGTCGTACTGGAAGAGATGAAAGTCCAACTGGTAGTGGCGGTAAACCCTGCCAATGAGAGAGGGGGATACCTGCCTGTAGTACCCACGCTGAGTCTCCTGTCGGGAGGCCTGGCTAAGAGGCCCAGACCGATTGTACCACGGGGTATCCGCAAGCCTAATTCCCATGCGACGCCATACGGGCTGTTGGTACAGTTACGAAGATTTTGATGACAGAGGAACTTTTAAGAGTTTCTACAGCATAAAGTGTCATATTTGTGACGTAGTGTATGATGAGTAACTTGCCCAACATGGAGTTGAGTAGTTGAGTTGACTTACAATTAGGTAGGTGAGTACACACAAAGTTGGAGTATGCAGCGGTTGGTGCTGCACATCTCACTAGCCCCCACCACTGGTAATAACAATGAACATGAACACACCGCACACCTCACCAGCCCCCACCACTGGTAATAACAATGAACATGAACACGCTGCACATCTCACCAGCCCCCACCACTGGTAATAACAATGAACATGAACACACTGCACATCTCACCAGCCCCCACCACTGGTAATAACAATGAACATGAACACACTGCACACCTCACCAGCCCCCACCACTGGTAATAACAATGAACATGAACACACTGCACACTTCACCAGCCCCCACCACTGGTAATAACAATGAACATGAACACACTGCACACCTCACCAGCCCCCACCACTGGTAATAACAATGAACATGAACACACTGCACATCTCACCAGCTCCCACCACTGGTAATAACAATGAACATAAGCGCTTAAACAACTTACAGCACAAATGAAAACATTATAAATGGGACGTTACAGTCGATGTAATATGTGAGTCGATTATGATTAAGAGTCTGAGAGAAATAAATTAATATTATAACAGTGCACATTCATCCTATGTTTCTCTCTCTCTCTCTCTCTCTCTCTCTCTCTCTCTCTCTCTCTCTCTCTCTCTCTCTCTCTCTCTCTCTCTCTCTCTCTCTCTCTCTCTCTCTCTCTCTCTCTCTCTCTTACACGAGCACTAGGAAACACTCACCGTGAGGTCTTGGTTAGCAGTCTCCAGCTTAGCTATGAGGTCATAGTTGAGGCTGCAGGGGGCGCAGGTCTGCCAATATGGAGCCCAGTGAGAGGCGAACTCGTCTGCAAGAGCCAGGAAAGTTTACTTATGACACTGATGACCTGTTTCCTGCTGATAGCTGTGTGTAATAGGTAATACAGGATTTGTGTACATCTTGGTATACGCTTGTATATGTGATTATGCATGTGTATGGGTGAGCTTTTGTGTTTGTATGGGAACGCACTTTTGTGTATGTGTGGGCGTGGGGCACGTACTTGTGTGTGTGTGCTGTGTATATGGCCACTCAGATTCACCCGCGCTCATACACACACACACTGTGTATGAGCGTAGGATGTGTGTGTGTTTGTTACTCCAAATCACCGTTAGCTTAAGAAATATTCTCAACTCCTCATAGTATAGAAATCAAATGTGATAGTATAAATTGATTATGTTCGTACCGGTTGTTACAAGAGCAAGAAGAGTACCCACTTCATCCCATTGTGTACTGTGCGTGCCACTGATCTCTTCTCAATGGCGCCTGCGTTCAGGAAGTCGCCTCCGTGCGTAAGCTGTATTTTGAGTGACGGTGCACCGTGTTGCCTTGTGTTAATTGTATTTTTCTCATGCCACTGACTACAGTAACATTAAATCCTTCTTTGCTTGTATGTAGTAGTGTAAATATTGCAGATGTTGCAATAACGTGCCTGAAACAAATACCCGACGTTTTGATCATGACCCTTATTGAGCAACCCGTCCTCTTTAAAAATAACGTCACTTTTGGCTCGTATGCGCGCTATGGCCAAAAGTGGACGTAATTTGAAATGAAATCGACTCACAAAAGTGACGTACTGTCCCTTTTTTGTTTGAGTCCTCCGGCCTACTCGGAAAGGTTAGGAGAGGAAACTTTCAATTAACGTTTTTCATAACGTTTTGAAACTTTATGAGAATTTCCTGCCCACCTAACCTATCAGAGGACCCTTAACTTACTGTTGTTGAAAAAAAATCCAAAATTTATTTTCATTCTTTATTCATTTCCAAATTACATCCACTTTCGGCCATACGGGCAAACGGCCAAAATCGACGTTATTTTTAAGAGGACAGGTTGTTGACATCTATTATGTCCCCCACTAGCAAGGCATCTTCACTAAATGTGGCTAACATGGTTCCCTCCTTGCAACAGCGTGTCGTGACATACCCATTTACTTCACTTACCAACTGTTGCATTAATAAGGTAAGATTAATTTCTTACCTGACAAATTAATATATAATATGAACTCGAGGAAGTCGCTGAAGGTAGGAATGGCGTGGTGTGGCTGCGCCGTGCCTCCTCCTGCCTCCTGGGCCCTGCTAGGCGCTGGGTCTCCTGCCTCCTGGGCCCTGCTGGGTGCTGGGTCTCCTGCCTCCTGGGCCCTGCTAGGCGCTGGGTCTCCTGCCTCCTGGGCCCTGCTAGGCGCTGGGTCTCCTGCCTCATGAGCTCTGCTAGGCGCTGGGTCTCCTGCCTCATGAGCTCTGCTAGGCGCTGGGTCTCCTGCCTCCTGGGCCCTGCTAGGCGCTGGGTCTCCTGCCTCCTGAGCCCTGCTAGGCGCTGGGTCTCCTGCCTCATGAGCTCTGCTAGGCGCTGGGTCTCCTGTCTCCTGAACCCTGCTAGGCACTGGGTCTCCTACCTCCTGAGCCCTGCTAGGTGCTGGGTCTCCTGCCTCCTGAGCCCTGCTAGGCGCTGGGTCTCCTGTCTCCTGAACCCTACTAGGCACTGGGTCTCCTACCTCCTGAGCCCTGCTAGGTGCTGGGTCTCCTGCCTCCTGAGCCCTGCTAGGCGCTGGGTCTCCTCCTGCGTCTCCTGTGTGCACAAATCTCGACTAAATGGCGACTCCTATCATGTATTTTCCCCTCTATGAGTTGGAATTTTCATAGAGAAAAATTATTTTCTGAAATATGGCTACATTTTAACAACTAATAATGAATTATGATAAATAGTAACACTGACTACTGACTTCTCGTTATTACAATAGAGATCAGGAAGTTGCTTACAGGAAGTTTAATTCTGTACTTGCAAAAGTTAGAATGATTGAAGGAGGAAAGTATCTAGCACTAGCAGCAAAATACCCTTTGTCCAGTACTGACAGTGAAATTCTAGAATGTGTTTCAAACTACGGGTCTAGAAAAACACCTGCAGTTTCATATATTGTGATGTTCTGGTAAAGTTTTACGGCGGGAAGTCATCATTGGGCAACGCGACTCGTGTCTGCAACAAGCAAATATAATTTTCGAATATTTTACTAATTCTGTTATCCGGCATGAGCAACTTTTGGCTTTGTCTGCAGCGCTGATTCTGTACTATTTTACGGTGTGAAGTAGCTTGTTGAATAAGTAGCATTAAGCTTCACATAACAATATGGACACAATTTAACAATGCAGGTTTATTGTATTCTTTAACTTGAAAAGGTTAAGCTTTGGCAAGTGCACAAGGGGGTAGCTCACACCAGGGGTAGCTCACACCAGGGTGGGTAGCTCACACCAGGGGTAGCTCACACCAGGGGTAGCTCACACCAGGGATAGCTCACACCAGGGGGTAGCTCACACCAGGGAGTAGCTCACACCAGGGGGGGTAGCTCACACCAGAGATAACACACCAGGGGTAGCTCACACCAGGGGGGGGTAGCTCACACCAGAGGTAACACACCAGGGGTAGCTCACACTTTATCAACAGGACTTACTTGCTGCAGGTAAAGGGTAAGGGTGTGTCCCCTGCCATTCTGTATGCCTCGCCTCGAGCCTCGCCGCCTGGTGGTGCCTCGACGCCTCGTCCCTCGCCTCCTTCAGGGTGTTGGTGATGTGACGACGCAGTTTCTTCAGCGACCAGTGGTCAGCTCTCTCAACCTGCCCCATAACACTTCACGTAATTGTCTCGCCATGTAATGAATTTATCCGCGCAGCACTGTGGCACGTTTGCTCATTAGTAACTACAGCTCCACAGCACATCACCACAACCAACTACACCACAACACACCACAGTGATGCCTCACAATAAGCAAACATACACCACAACACACTATCTCAGCACATCACACTACCACATTATCGAAGCACATCACAATACAGTCTGTCATCCAAAAATTGATAGTACTTATAAGAACTTTTGGTCGAGCGTACACAAGCTTGAGGTGCACCCAACACAGGTTCGTGTTTTGCACTATTACATTGATAGAGAGCACGAGGGAGAAAACAACAACTAAGCCTATACTTTCTTAGGCCTAATGTGGCACATATATGCACTAAATTAAGTTTAAGACGGCATATATTACGCCAAGTTCAAATTCTAGTCAATTTATTGAGATAATAAGTCATCCCTCCAAAAAAGGATAGTGTAGATTAAGGTATTACTACCCTCCTTATATTAGGCCTAGGATTGCTTATTTAGGCCTAAGAACAGATTAGGTTAGGGCTGTATATTACCTTTTCCAATTTTTATTATACCATGTGGAGCATTCCAATAGTATATAATGTGTATTTATTTGGGGGGATACAATAGTACATTTTTGTACGTTTGACCAACAGTTGCTATAAGCTTTGTCATATTAGAGGATGGGTTGCACAATACCACATTATCCACATCACCACAACACTATCACATAACATTATAACACATCTACAACATCACACTCTCACAGCACAAATCTCAACCTGTGCTCTTACAAATTACGTAGCTTTCCGCTCGCATGCGCACTCAGGCTAAAAATCGACGTAATTCAAAATGAAATCGGCTCTTGAAAGTGACGTACTATCCCGTTTTCTGTTCTGGGTCCTCTGACTTAGGCTGTTAGGTTAGGAGAGGAAACTTTCAACTAACGATTTTCATGACGTTTTGAAACCTTAGGAGGACATTCTGCCCTCCTAAGCTACCAGAGGACCCTTAACTTGCTGTTTTGGAGAAAAAAATAAAAAAATTAATTGGAAAATAAATTTCCATTTTAAATTACGTCGATATTTGGCCGTAGCGCATACGAGCGAAAAACAACGTAATTTGTAAGAGGACGGGTTGTGATATAATAACAAGATAACACCACATTGATGTACATTAAATCACATTATCAAAACTCATCATTACCCATTTAACAGAACATCACATTAACTCGGCACATCACTACACATTAGCCGAGCACATCACAATGCTACATAGTCGAATCTTATTACTAGGTTATATCACCATAACACATCACAGCATGTAATAACACATCACAGCATGTAATAACACATCACAACATGGAATAACACATCGCATCACCGCAAGGACTAACACATCACAACATGGAATAACACATCACATCACCGCATGGGCTAACACATCACACCACCACTTCAGCGTATCACAACACTGCATCATTTGCAACACATCACAGTCCCACATCATATATATCATTAACACCATATTATCACCACAACACCCACCTCACATCACATCACAACACCCACATCACATCACAACACCCCACATCACCACATTCACTATCGCAAGAGTTCTCGGGAACTTGCGAATAATATAACAAAAAGTGTAAATATTGAAATTTCTTTAATAGTTAGAAAAGTGTAAGGATACCTGTAAAAATCTGTGTTTATTAAAGGTCAAAGGAAACAGAAGTGACATTTGACTTGCCTTGTCTCTGTAGGCTGAGAGGAGTCGCTCGAAGGGGTGACGCACCAAAACAAACTTGAAGAAGTGTTTTCTTGCGAAATTAAACTCTGCTTCAGTCTACAAAAAAATTATTCTTGTTTTATCTTGCGTCGAGTCCGCATGCATGTAAGTACATAAAGATGACACTGATATATTCAGATTAAAATGAGATTAAGTGTAGGAGAAAGCGTCAGGTAAGGAAGAAGAAATGCAGTCAGTGAGAGTGGAAGGTCACCTGGGGTCTGAGTACTGCAACGGCATTGTGGGGTGAGAGCACCTTGCTCCACTGGGAGGGCACTGGCCGACCGTCAGCCTTCAGGAGACTCACGGCCAGGGATGTCGATGCCACCTGCAGAGAAATGATTGATTATTTTCTGGGTAGATTCTACATAGTGTGGCTCTAACGAGGTTACGGCTCAATTCGATACTACAGCAGCAGCAACAGGTCCAATTATGTCACTTCAGGCTGCAAGTTCAAGGTCGTTTGTGTGGATAGTGTTCCAGTGGCTTGGTGATACTTGTGGACGTCGTGTGAGTATGTGTGCGTGTAAATGCTAAATATTTACATATCCATGCCATTAACGTCTATTGATTGTTGAATGAGACATATATATATATATATATATATATATATATATATATATATATATATATATATATATATGTCGTACCTAGTAGCCAGAACTCACTTCTCAGCCTACTATGCAAGGCCCAATTTGCCTAATAAGCCAAGTTTTCATGAATTAATTGTTTTTCGACTACCTAACCTACCTAACCTAACCTAACCTAACATTTTCGGCTACCTAACCTAACCTAACCTATAAAGATAGGTTAGGTTAGGTTAGGTAGGGTTGGTTAGGTTCAGTCATATATCTACGTTAATTTTAATTACAATGAAAAAAAATTGACCTAATACATAATGAAATGGGTAGCTGTATCATTTCATAAGAAAAAAAATTGAGAAAATATATTAATTCAGGAAAACTTGGCTTATTAGGCAAATCAGGCCTTGCATAGTAGGCCGAGAAGTGCGTTCTGGCTACTAGGTACGACATATATATATATATATATATATATATATATATATATATATATATATATATATATATATATATATTATATATATATATATATATATATATATATATATATATATATATATATATATATATATATATATATATATATATATATATATATATATATATATATATATATATATATATGTCGTACCTAGTAGCCAGAACGCACTTCTCAGACTACTATGCAAGGCCCAATTTGCCTAATAAGCCAAGTTTTTATGAATTAATTGTTTTTCGACTACCTAACCTACCTAACCTAACCTAACCGAACTTTTTCTGCTACCTAGCCTAACCTAACCTATAAAGATAGGTTAGGTTAGGTTAGGTAGGGTTGGTTAGGTTCAGTCATATATCTACGTTAATTTTAACTCCAATAAAAAAAAATTGACCTCATACATAATGAAATGGGTAGCTTTATCATTTCATAAGAAAAAAATTAGAGAAAATATATTAATTCAGTAAAACTTGGCTTATTAGGCAAATCGGGCTTTGCATAGTAGGCTGAGAAGGGCGTTCTGGCTACTAGGTACGACATATATATATATATATATATATATATATATATATATATATATATATATATATATATATATATATATATATGTATGTATATATATATATATATATATATATATATATATATATATATATATATATATATATATTTTTTTTTAATAATTCATTGTGTCGGGGACAGGTAGCCATTGTATAGATATACATGTTCGGCTTTTACCGAGGTTTTCCCCAGGGTTTACTGACCCACTCCAGGATACAACCCCACAATAAGCGGACTGATTTTTTTTTTGGGGGGGGAGGAGGGGTGTTAACAGTACATATTGGTACGTTCGACGAAAGTTTCTATAAGTACTATAATTTTATGGGTTGTTGTGCGAGGACTTTAGGAATATGTGGTTCTCTTGTGATGTATTGTTTGGTATGTGGTATACCAAATTTGGTATGCGGGCATTTCAAACTCGCCTCTGGTAAGTCTGAAATACCAGAGATCTTGTGTTGCGTAACACTTAATAAATTTACTTTTACACCAGCCTAGCAAACAGCATATCTCATTTATCTCATAATTTCTAATTAAAGTTCAGGGGTGCCAAGAATCACCACATTAAATATATATGTATGAGCACCATATTATCTTACGTTGACGTCCAGGTGGAACAGTCTATAAGTATAGATTCAAGGTAGTTCATAACAAAGACTGATAATTTATAAATGATAGGCTTCCGATCATCATTGATGGAAAATAGGGTATTTCAAACTGCTATTCGAGACTACCCGCACTCGCTATATACACGCAGCTGCTCAGCTGCTATATACACTCACTCCAACCACACGTAACCAACAACCTCTCACCTTATTGATGAGGCAGGTCATGGTGGAGGCTGAGCGGGCCAGGAGGAACCTGTTGAGGATGACTTGCTCGACGTAGGAACCTGAGGTGGAATGCACGAAAAATACATACAAAAATTAATATGGCTCATGTAAGTCTATACTCATTCTGAGTGTAAACGTTTAGACTACAGGGGTATACATATCGGAATTCAATCAGTTTACCATGACATATCAAACAAATCTTTTCATTTTATTTTAGAGACTCATGTATACTATTAGGCTAAGATCTGTAAGTTTGGCTAGGTTTCAAAATGATCCACCAGTCATTGAAAGTTGCCCAACTAGTAGGAGCAACTCTCAAACCAAGAAAAGTTTAGCGCCGCAGAACGAACACTACAAACCAGACAACGGAGCTGATTTCACCGTGAACTTTAAAACAATGAACAATTTGGAAGACAATAATCCAGTGCACTTCTTTAAAAGATTTATGTGACCCAACCACAAATGGGGCAACCGCTGGGAGCTCAGATAGCCATAATATATAGGATATCTAGGGCTTAGTCCTGCCGCTACCCTTCATACCAACAAGAACATATACTGTATAGGATAGACAACATATTTTTTTTACACAATGGACAAGCCCATGGAATTTCCTCTCCGCCGATCCGTAAACACCAAGGCAGCATTCCAATTTAAGCTGCAGCTGGAATACATTCTGAGGAATAATAAAGGAACCATTGAAAAGTCACCTGCTTCCTGTCCCCGTCGACGTCAATAGTGGCGGCCTTCGGGTAAATTCAGATTTGGAAATTGGGCTGACTAGGGTATAATAATTTATATACCATTAGAAACAGAAAAGGAAATTTTATATATCTGAACACGATCACACATTAGATGGTATGGGTGTATAATAACTAAACTAATATCAACAACGGTGGATAAAACATAATTTAGCCCTGGTGTACTACATCGGTATCTGTATAATCAACTTAATTTCTATACTATATTATAGAGTAATCTTAAATGTTTTAAAATGCACCTTTCTTAATTTGACCAATTCGGAGATGACTGTGCAGCTACATAATACACCCTATATAACAGAGAATCTCACCCGTGTCATTGGAAGCTTTTGGTAGGATGTTGGGCAGACTTTGCTTGGCGGACGTGTTGTGGCCGACCATGAACTGAAGACACACCTTCCTGACGATTCTTGAGCGACGGGCAAACTCTTCCCTTCTCCCGGCCCACCAGGAGTCCTGCAGCGCCCCCTCACTCTTGGTAACGCCGAGGCTTGGTGAAGATTCAGCTTTCTTTTTCTGCAGGAAAGACTGCAATATTGTGCTGTTGGTGTAGCTTACCCTTGATTTTCCATGATTTACTGATGAGTTGTACATTTCGGTGCGATTACTTTTCACGTTTGAAGACGATGAAGCTTGCAGCGCAAAGGAGTGTCCCTCAAAATATTTATCATCCTTTGAGACAAACATTAACTCGTTTTCTGTGGTGATACTTGAGGCCTTCAATGGCGAACTATAAAATAGTTTTAGCACCAAACTCTTGTTGACCGGTTTATCAGTATTCTTTGTTTCATTTACATGTATTTTTGTTACCGTGTGAAAAATATTGCTATCACTCATGTTTGTACTATTTGTATATATTCCGTTTTCTGTTAATGCAATTTTTCTTTTCGGGTTAATATAATACTCCCAAGTCGTGACTAGTCCTAAAACCACTAATATTATTCCAAGTTTCTTCACTATATGCTTTATCTTCATTGTCGAGTTTTTTTATCAAAATAATTCTATTCACTTCAGTTTATGTTCTACCCAATCCTACTGTTACTGTTAAAATAAAGGAATATTTTTGTAAAATTCAACGGATAAATTATATATTAATTATTTTGTAATAGAAAGCACAAAGTAAGCCTCCTGACAAGGATACAGAGAAGCTTCAAGGTCTACTCATCTTAATGATTATCTAATATTTTTTTTAAAGTTCGATAATAAATTAATTCCTGAATTAGATATTCAAATATTGTACAGGTGAGAGCCAGCGCAGTCCTTAATTGTAATATTGAGATATTTCCATCTTAAGGTTTAGTTAAATTTGTGTATTAAAGCACCAATATCAATCCTGTAGGAGATATAAACTTACCCAATTTATATCCATTGTTTCGTATTCTATTTGATGTTGGTATATTTAAAACTTTTTAAATTCTTTTTGATATAATACCCTTTCACCCATTTATATACTTCAATCGATATGTCACCTGAACGTTACTCTTCATATTTCTAGAGAATGTAAATTAAGCTATTTTAATCTCTCCAAGAAGGTTTCTAATTTATGTTATGAACTTTTAACTCCTCCACTGAAGGTGCTCAAGAGACAAATAAATTCCCAAGATTTTTCCCAGCTAGATTTTGAACTGGAGCATTATTGTCTTGTCATTTACGGCTTCGGCAGACAAGCAACTTTATGGGTTTATTAATCTAATGATGGAATGGCATCTCTCACATTAAGATCTCATTATTCACTACCCAAATAATGCAACGGCCTATGGGCTTGTATTGAAGTGGGGCGGCTTATCTTAACGCTCTGAATTATGTAATGGTTAGTTATTTGTTGAAGAGTCGTCTGACTTTTCAAAGATTTTGTGCTTATTTGATATGTTGTATTTCCCGACGATGAATGGAGCCCAACATTTTAACACTGACTTTTGCTATTTAGTGCTGTAAACCTATTAAGGACAGCCAAACTTGGCATCTGGTTATATTTCCTGATACTTGTCGAACGTGAACTTTACCAACAAATATTATTTTTAGAAAATCCACTAATGTATGAGGTTGGTGGGAAGCTGCGACCCCGGCAATGCCAGTCGTGTACTCTACCACTAGACCAAATAGGTAAATAGACCAAAAATAGCTGGTCTATTTTTCTCATAAATAGACTTTTAATCGTCACAAATATAATTAGTTTCGTGTGAATACTTAAATACATTAATTGAAGGTTAATCTAACTTACCGATAAATTGGATCACACCAAAATATTTACTGTATAGGTATAATGGCTTAGCACTTACCCTCCATAATTACCTTACCTTACACGTCAAAAGTCTTCTGTTCACTCATAATTCCGCCATAGTGGGTATAGTGGTAATATAATTGTGATTGACTAAGCTTCTATTAGCAACACCTATCATTTAGCGTGGCTCTTCAACAGTAGATGTCTGAGCGCTGGCTACCCACCTGAAGAGAACGACAAATTAACCAATATATATCGTAAAAAATTAATGAATTAGTTTGGTGTTACAAGTATTCCCTGCGTCATTTAATTGTTCCGTTAAGAATCACATTAAAACCCGCGTGGGCTTTGTTCCTCTCACAATCCCTGGCAGCTTTGTTTTCTTCCAAGTACTTTAGAACTTGCACTAGAGGTTAGCTGTAGGGGCTGAGTCCAAGAGGTGTTTTCTGGGGGACGCCTGGAACAGCCATGGAGCACCACGCAGGGTTGATGCCCTCCTGGAGGGCGGCCAGGTACACACTGCAGGAGGGCTGCCTCAGCGACACTAGTATCCAAAATGGTCCCACAGACACTAAACTTATGACGTCACATATACACTTTGTTCGCTCTGGCGGGTTCGATTCCCGGGCGGAACAGAAATGGTTGGCCACGTTTCCTTTCACCTAATGAATCTGTTCACCTAGCAGTAAATAGGTATCCTGGAGTTAGGCAACTGTTGTTGGGGTTGCATCCTGGGGAAGAAGGTTAATGCAACTTATTATGCACCCCCATTATAAATGCATAAAAGACAGTATATATAATATACAGTGCACCAAAATGCCTTTATTTTATTTAGGTTGGGATAGCCTAGGTTTCTTAAAAATACAAAAATAAAAGTAGCGATGACGTAGAATGGCATAAACTTTGGCCCTTTTTGAACTCTCCAAACACCTTCCACCAGGGAAATGTTTTGCATTGCGCCATACACGTTTCTGTCAATATTCCATTAGGAACATTTACTTTGTTTAACTCTAAAGAAAACATCTATTATTTGTTTCATTTAAACACATTTTTCATTATAATTCATTCCACCACACCTGTATAACCGCTTTAAGTTCAAGGTTATGAACGAAACATTGCGCATCTATTTTCATTGTATTAAATGTTTATTGAGTTAAAATGTTTATATAATAAATTGGTATGCCTTTTTCAACAGCGCAACTTTTTATATTAATATTTCATTAACAAATATAAAGGACTTAAATTCAATAAATAATAATGTGAATAATTATTGCAGAGAGCAGTAGCCTAATGAAATTGGACCGAGTGAGGTGGAATATTTTCATGGGACTCATTGGGACTCTACCCCTTACCAACTGGGATTTTTTTTATTTAATGTGCCTCACTCCATACTCATCCTGTGAGCGGTAGTATATTGTGCATCACATACTCATCCTGTGAGCGGTAGTTTGTTGTGCATCACATACTCATCCTGTGAGCGGTAGTTTGTTGTGCATCACATACTCATCCTGTGAGCGGTAGTTTGTTGTGCATCACATACTCATCCTGTGAGCGGTAGTTTGTTGTGCATCACATACTCATCCTGTGAGCGGTAGTTTGTTGTGCATCAGATACTCATCCTGTGAGCGGTAGTTTGTTGTGCATACATACTCATCCTGTGAGCGGTAGCACAAAAAATTTAGAAATAGCACAAAAAACCTTAATCAGACCTCAATAAATATTGTTTGGCACCTTTCTTTTTACAATATATATTTTATTATAATGATAGCTATTAACTTGTTCAGCAACTGGTATGCGTGACACTAATATTACACATTGGAAATATATCAGTGTTGCAATACTTAAAATATTATTTCAACAATGGATATTTCGGAATAATAGTGTGGTTAGTTTAGTTAATATATTATGCACCCCATACCTATCCTGTAGGCAGCAGTTACTCTAGCACATTATGGGCTCAGGAATCGAACTCCAAGATTCATTTAGCTAAGCAAGTTACTCTAATTAAGCTAGTTACACAGTTTAATAAGTTCATTATTTTATGAACAACGGGTTCGAGAACGTCCTCATTTGCAGTGAGCTCGTTTCATAATTTGATATGCTTATCATGCAATCCCCTCCCCCTCTCCCCATAAAAATCCAGTGGGCGACGGTGGAATTACAAGCTGGGAACAATTTTGAGTGAAATATTAACACATTTCTTGGACATTTATTATTGAACTGTCTCTAAATTCATCTCTCTCTCTCTTTTCTTTTGTTTCGCATTCCATCATATTGTGACGGAGGATGCGCGAACAATTTCCTGGCTGTTTACATTTGGCCAGGTCTACACCAGCAGGTAATGAAAATTCCCACAGATACTTATAACCAAGTCTAAGCCGGGTAGTAGTAACATCCAGGAGTTCTACCTCTACCTCCTTCAATACACACAGAAATCACATTAACTTGATAATCAATGAACAAATCCACAGGAGCCTTGATGACCTCCCATCAAGGCTCCTGTGGATTTATTTGTCCATCCAGGAGTCTGCTGAGTTTATTGGATGATTCATAGATGTATTGCTCTTGCATATTATAATAATTGTTGAAATTGCTAGTGTAAATTTCACTCTGTCTCAGATCTACAAGATTGTACTGAAGTTCTCGGCGTATCATTGTTTCTCAGGTTTTACTTATAATCTAGGATTGCTTATAGGCAATCCTAGATTATAGTCAACTCCTTTGAAGACAGATTCTTTGGGTAATTCATCAATTCTGTCATACAGTCGTAGGCCACCTTGAGATGGAATCCGCATTAAATTGACTCTCCTACTATTAATTACAATTATAGTGTAGCTATAACTCAGTTAAATGTGTTAATGTTGGGTGACGAACAACGACAGCACTTCCCGCCGTCCCCGTTGCTACACTGAGAGAACCGTCACTGTATTTGGTTAATGGGAGAAGGCCAGGATGTAGAGATTGCTCCCTCTACACCTACACCGACTATACACGTACATACACACCACGTACACGTCCTTAGAGTCAATGATGTTTCTTCACGCCAGACGCTATTGTGCACGTCAGGTGGTGCGTTAAAGTTGTTTTGAGATGGTAGGTGAATTGGATGCACATCGAGAGGGAACCATTTTATGATTTAATGTATTTGTTATGTACAGTTACAGTCACAAAATGGGCTCAGGAACTGAACCCAAGGTTCAGTTAGTTAAGAAAGTTACAATTTGACAAGCTAGTTACATAGCTTAATGTATATATATATAAATTCTGTTGTGGCCTAATAGCTGACGTTACAGGACACCTCAGTTAAGCAACTTCAATACTGTAAATGCAATATGTAAATTACTTATAATGGAGCCTTGTCTAAATATGCATATATATTTCATTGTTTTACTGCAAAGCAAATTAACATTTAGGCTGTGTGAGAATTGCCATCCAGCCAACACGCTTGAAGAACTTAACATGCAATAATTAAACTCAACATTATCAACATCATATGATAAATAAAGTAACCTAGGCATTGAAAAATAAAATTAATCTCTAAACTTAGCCTAGGCTTGCAACATAAAAAATTAACAAGTACAGCAAAGTTGTAAGTTTATCTCCTGATTCACAACATTCGTCATTGTGAAGCTCTGGTTCTGCTGGTAACTCCTATACAGACGTCGGGGTTTGTTTGCAGGATATAATAAGAGTCGGAATATTTTTGGTTATAAGGAGGGAAATCCAAGAAGCCAGATAGAGATGATGATTGTGTAAGGAAGCACGGCCAGTCTATGTGAATAACTACTCAGGATATGGTAAGAGACAAGTTTGTGTAGAGGCGGTTGTAAGGGAGAAAAAATGCGTAAATACTGCATACGAAGTTAATGACAA